TAGCAGGTCTTAAAAATCCTTCAGATGTCTCTTTGACACAGGATATACAAAACAGAGTTCCCATCTTATGGTACTATTGCTGTGTTTCAAGCATAAAGTACATGTAAGAATCCCACACAAAAAAACTTTTGATATTTGTTTGGTTTTTATGGTTTCGAGGCTTGTTGAAATGACACCTTAAAACACTGAATATGACTTCCTAGTCAATAGTTTTTAATTACAACTCTATCCAAGCAAACATCTTAAAATTCAGAGTTAGTTGCAGCTGGTTCAATTGTTCACAAGAAGTTCTTAGAATTTTCTGTAAATCATCAGACATGGGAAGCATTATTTCACAGATATGAATGAAAAAAATCAATAGAGTTTTTTTAATGTTTTTTTTTTCTCTTTGAAAAGATACTTTATTTAAAAAATTTGGCTGAAATTCTGTCACGGATGATATCCAAGCGGGTAAAACGAACAATGTCCATTGCGAGTCATTTCTATTGTAACTGCATCTACAAAATTGTAGCTGCGGTAACTCATTTGAACTCTTTTTAATATTGAACACATTTCAGTGGGAGGGTTGAGCACTCACAAACATATTTGGCCTTTGGTCGGGTTGGTGTCTCTTTGACACATTCCCAATTTCCATTCTCAACTTTATTAACCGCGGCATATTCTTTAAGTGCCTGTCACAAGTCAAGATTCTGCAGTTCAGTGGTTGTCGTTGGTTCGTGTCATATTTGTTTTCATAAACTGTTTTGTTATACATTAAGCCGTTAGTTTTCTCAATTTAGTTGTTTAATATATTTCATGTCGGGGCATTTTATAGCCGACTATACGGTATGGATTTTTTTTCTCATTGTTGAAGGCCGTATACGGTTGCTTATAATTGCTTACATCCACTTCTTTTGTACTTTGGCGGGTAGTTGTCTAGTTGACAATCATACCATATCTCCTTATTTTTATTTTAACATTAACATTATTCAATAATGAAGATTAGAGAAAAAATATTTAAAGACTTTACAATATCCCCCTCTTTGTAAAATTGACCACATTAACATTATTAAAAAATGAACATAGAGAAAAAAATAAATCTCACTTAAAGATTTGCTCACCATCTGCTTAAAAATTTAAACGAGTTTGTACAGCAAAAATCGTTTGTTGCATTTTAATACTTATAACAAAAACAGAAAAAAATACCCGGATAGTTTCTACAACTTAGTAATATTGTGGTTTAACAGAATGGATAGTTCCAGTAACTGCAATGGTAAAAAATGTATATAATTTAAATGTTCGTTGTTATAATTTTAACGTAGTATTAATGCATAGAATTTGAGGGGAGTGGATAAATTTGAATAAGGCATCTGTTAAATAATGGGAGCGCTTAATATTCAATTGTCGTCAGAACCATGTAACATAATCACAATTCCGATAACATGCATGTTGTTGTTGTACGTCCAGTGACAAATATAACCGTTAATTTGGCAGTGAAAATGCCGGGGTTAATCATGCTTGAAATGTTTAAATGTAACCAAAAAGAAGTTTTACTCTTAAGTTAAAGACATACAATGCGGAATCCAGAAATGTTTTTAATTATACGGATCTTTTTTTAAACTTTTTTGTTTCCTTTCTGATGTATAATAGGAAAGAATGAAAAATATTTTCAGATTGCTTGAATTGCTATTTAACTCATTTAAAAAATTCATACAATTTTTGTTCGTTGTATTGACCAAAGGGGAAGACGAAATATGGTTTGTGCATGAACCACTGTTTTCTTGTTTAATTCTATCTCATCTATTAGAATGGTTTGGATAAAGAACCACATTTTGTTTCCGAAATGACTTATATAATTGAGCACACCCTTATTAGTTAAATAACTTAGACTAAAGTGTTACATGCCTGGTAAATAAATCTAGTTGTATCATCATTTCATTTTTCTACATTAATATTTATCAAACGAAAAACACACATAATTCAGGAAAATATATGCATAAATATTTTATTGATATCTCTCCTGAGGTACACAATAAATATCCTTTATCCCGCCGCAAGAATGACGAGTGTGTCGAATGGTTTAAAAAAATAAATTTTGTAGATTTTTTGTCTGATTGTTGATTCAAGTCGAGAAAATTGATATTTTTGTTCCTGATTGCTGCTTCTAGTATAGAAGATCGAAATATTTTTTTCCTTCTTCTTATTGCTTCAAGTAAAGAGGAACGATAGAATTTTTTTTCCCTGATTGTTGCTTCAAGTACAGAAAACTGATAGATGTTTTTCTTCTTCTGATTGTTGCTTCAAGAAATGGATTATTTGTTTGATTGTGCTTCAAGTAGAGAAGATCGATTGAATTATTTTTTTTACCTACCATTACCAAATAAGGTTTCTCATTAAAACCGACCCATCATATCAGTATATTGCAATCAGTTCATATTATCGACCTTAGTATGCATGTTCGATAAATTCTATGCATGGTGATCTGACGTCTGACAGTTCTTTTCAAGACTATCATGTTGAAAAAGCATCGTATGTAATTCCCAACAGTGGCCGATATTAGAGTGTTAGAATGCTTGTTTTCCATGGCAGCTTATATATCTACAAATTTATCTTATAAAAAGTTTTTTTATGGACCTTGATTGGTAGTGTGGGACTTTTATTAACGACTTGTATAAACTATATGCACTTCTTAGAACTTGGTTTAGTGTTAATCAAAGTTAAACAGTATATATTATTTGGCATGAACATAATTATTATTTACCAAATTGAACTTAATTATAAGAATCTGGAAACAAACTACTTGTATATCTCATGTTTGTTGCTTAAGTTGTCATATCAATCCATTTCCTAATATTACCAAGCACATTTTATATGTTAAATACTCATGAATTAGAATGTATTGAAATAAAAAAAATATTCCACTAAATGTAAAAAAAAGTAATAAAAACCCCAATCAGATGCGGATCCAGGATTTTGAACCCTGAACAGTTGGGGCAGGTATGGACAAAAGGTTCAAGCTTGATACAGCTCTGAATTTTGATTGTGATTAAATATTTGACATGCACAGCACAGGTTTCTGCCACAGAATGAATTAATGTGGCCAAAGAACTGAAAAATCTGAAATTGGATTTTACCTTTTATGGTCCAATATCCAAAATCTAAAACCATGGTTAGAATCAGCATATCCAAATGCACCAAGAATTTAATTTATCTATTTTGTAATGGACCATAATATCCAAGTATACCAAGAATTTAATTATAATTCATTAATGGACAATACATATTGTGTATTAGCTCTGTTTTTATAGAGTTCACTTCATAAAAAAAATCGTAAGGGTTCGATGGAACCCAGTGTCTTGCCTTCTTTTGTGGATGACGACAGAAAGAAGGATCGCTATGTTTCGCTTTTGCAACAAAAGTCTCAGGCTCACCAATAATGGGGAAAAATTTTGTTAAAATTTTCCTCTAGATTTTATCTTTTGATTGTAAGAAGCTTCTGTCCAAGTTTGGTAAAAATCAAGGATTGTTTATGAATCTTATAAATGTTTTGAAAAATTTAACTGCAGACTGTATGTAATATTAACTGGAACAAAACTAAGTCCATTCATAAGTTATATAGGGAAAAATAGGAAAAACATTTTTACAAAATTTCCTTCTAGATACTAGCTTTTGATCATAAATAAGCTTCTGTCCAAGTTTGGTACAAATCCATGATAGTTTAAGAAATTAATCAAAATTTTTAAAACTTTAACCACAGAGTGAATGTAATGTTAACTGGCAAAAAAACTAAGCCCATTTATAAGTAAAATACTGATAAACCGGATTTTTTTTTTACAAAATTTACTTCTGGATACTATTTTATGATCATAACTAAGCTTCTATCCAAGTTTGGTAGAAATCCAGGATATTTTAATAAAAATATTAAAGTTTTAAAAACTTTAACCACTGAGTGAATGTAATGTTAGCTGGCAGAAAAACAAAGACCATTTATAAATAAAAAACAGATAAACGGGTTTTTTTTTACAAAATTTACTTCTGGATACTATCTTATGATCATAAACAAGCTTCTGTCCAAGTTTGGTAGAAATCCAGGATAGTTTAAGAAAGTTATTAAAATTTGAAAAACTTTAACCACAGAGTGAATAATTGTGGACACCATCGACAACAGAATGTAGGATCGCTATGTCTCACTTTTGTGACAAAAGTCGCAGGCTCAACAAAAATGTATATATAAATTAATGTGGATCTATTTGATAATGGGGCTAAAAATTCAATACACTACAAACTGCTCCGAGTCTGAAAAGACCAGTTTTTGTGCTCGACCAGTAAAGTCGAGCACGCATTTTACTCGACTAGTCTCGACATTGTCTCGACAGTACTTAACTGTACTTAATTGTACTCGACTAGGTCTCCACTTTACTTAATTAGTCTGATTCAGTACTTGATGATCTTGGTGTAGTCTGAAATGGTCTCGACCAAGGCTCGACCAGTCTCGACCTATCTCAACCAGTCTCGACTAGTCTCGATTCAGTCTCAACCAGTCTCGACCTGTCTCGACTAGTCTGGACCTTCAAATTTAGTCTTCACTGGTGTAAATCAGCTCATCTAACTAAATTATATATAGATCTTACAAAATACCAGTCTATTTGGTAGTTTGATTCATTACTGTCAGTCTGGGGTCTCACTGGCAGAAGTAAATATTATTTACCTGATTGTGTAAACTTCCTATAACTTCAACAGGTAAAATTCTTTTACCTATGCAAATATGCTGAATTTACCTAAATAGGTAAAAAAAAAGAACTCTGGATTATCTCCCTTTGACAAATGATCTTTTTTTTATTTGATCATCTTATATTCCTAGTCCACTAGATTTTTTGATTACCTCCCTTATTTTTGTTTACTTTTTTAAGTAAATACTATAATTAATTTGAATTCAAAAGACAACTTTCAATGACTTTCACAAATTCTATATCGAATATTAGGAAGTACATTGTTATTGTTGAATCAAGGAAAAGGAATAATACAGTGTAAAAATATGTTTTATTAATCAACATAAAACTAAACAACTGACAGCTAAAAGAATATGTGTTTTTGAACAAAAATCATTCATGAAATATATAGAAACAAGTGTGGACACAGACCATATACATATACATGCATCTTATCAAATGTTCAAATAACAAAAGAAGTTTTTAATCATTTGTTAAACCACTTTCATGACTAGAAAAAGCTATCAGTAGCTAAATTAAATTTTCAACTAAAGGTTGTTCTACATGTAAAACAGATACATGGACGGGTACATAGAGATCCATTATCTTCAGTCAATTGAATAATTTAACACAAGAAAATAACAGGTATACTGTTATTGTGTGAATTCTAATGAGGTTATCTCCTTTCACGAGTTATGTTGAAATAATACATGTAGGTTATTTGTACAAAGAAACAATGGCTGTAATAATGCTATTCAGTTACAAAATTTCGGTCAGTCAAATCAAGTCATATAAAACAAATAACGCTGTTAGTTCTGTTGTTTACATCTAAAATAAAATTGAGAATAGAGTATGGGGAATGCGTCAATGATTTCAACATTTGTGTCATTTCTGGTGAAACATTGTGGGCAAACAATACCTCATAAAAAACTAAGTATGGTAAAAATACTTGCTTAACACAAAGATAAAATAGGAAATACACAAGTACAGAAAATAAAAACATTGTAGAAATAAAATACAACCTCTATCTACCATGAATACTATTTACATACATGTACAATGTGAATAACAAAATTTCATATTTCTGAGATTGCCATCCATAAATAAAAATTGAAGAAAATTGAATCATGGCATTCAAATAATATTAGGATTAATTATCTAAGAGTTAAATAATTCTTCCAGTTTTTAATATTAAATTTCCAACTAATATCAAAATATTTTTTTTAAATCAATCACAAAATTTTGGATTCAGGTAAAGTTCGTTCTCTGATAAAAAAAAAAAAAAAAAAAAAACAAACTGCTACGCAATGAGCGCATGAAACACCGATCTATTTCAGAAAATGTAGAAATTTACACCACCACATCAATCAACTTTGAAATGCAATGTATGAGATATTCTCAAGTGACCGTGCAAAAACAATGCATTATTAAGTTTTCTTTTAGGAGCAAAGAATTGAAGTAGAAGCTGTGTAAACTTAAAAGCAATTTAGAGAAGAGGTTTCCAAGATACAGCCACCCCCCTTTTTTAGGGGAAAGTAACAATGAAAATAAGGCTTAACAATCAGATAAATTAGTTCAAATCCTCTTTGAGCTGTCATATTCCTTTTTAAAGAGATTATTCCACTAGAATTTTGATAACATCCCTGAGATTTTTTGTGAAAAAAATCACAAAATAGTGACAACAATAGCTCACTTGGCTAATAGAGCCAAGAAAGCTCAATGGAGAAAAATAAAAGCACCATATGGGACTTACAAACATATATAAAACTTATCAAAACAATAAAGTGCTTATAAAACGATTGCTTTCAAAACAGTGAACATTGATAAATTCAGTAACAATGAACATGATAAAAAAAGTATCATATACCTAAATACAACAGTAACAATATTTAAAAAAAAGGCCCTACATGTATATGGTATATTTCAACCTTTTTTCATCAGCAATACACATTAAAATGGGATGTGCATGCTCAAATAGATCATAAAAAGTATTGGACGGTTCATTCACGACATATTCATATGGGTAAAGGATTATTCTGGATAATACCAATAAGCTGAAATAAAAAATGTAAACAAATTTTGTTACGAAGCATCAAGCTTTAAAACTGACTTAACATGTTACAAGAATATTGTAAAACAAAGTATAAAATGTTCGTAATAATGTTCAAAAATAACGACTAGGCAAAAACATATATACAATTATGTTACACTATATAGCTATTCATATTGCTAATAAAACATCCACATAGATATCTTTAAAAAAACAGAGGCTCTCAAGAGCCTGAATTGCTCACCTGTAATTCTTTACTTAAATCTGTTATCAATGATTTTTTAGCTTTTTAATGTATATATAAATGTGTGCTTAAAAATAAATAATAAGCTATTCTTTGTATCTGTAATTTATTGTCTTCAAAGGCAAACAAAAAAATGCATTTTACCCATAAGTTCTTATTGAGCCATAGTGGCTATTTTTCTTGACATAAAAGAAAATAAAACACAAGCTTTATACTAGACCCCTATGTTTTATTTTTAGTCAATGCAGCCATGTTTTTTTAAGAAACCGAAAATAAAACACAAAACAATCATTCAGCTTAAGTTTGATTAGAATTGGTTCAATAGTTTCAGAGGAGAAGATCTTTAAAATGGTTAACACCGGACGCACGACGATGACGGACGCCAAGTGATGGCAAACATGGGGGAAAGTGTATACATGATATATAAAATTTAAGTAACAATAAGCCAGTTAATGTCATAGTAAAGATTAATATCAGGTGTCTGGTAAATAGCCACTGAACTGGACTATTATATACATTCTGACATGACATTTCACATACATGTATCTTGAAAAAACATCTCAATTGAACGCCTCTTCTTAACTTGTTTCGGATGTTGCAATTTCTTTATAATGCTTTTTCTTTCAATAATACTTTGATCTGGCATTTCTGGCCATATAAACATTTCATTTTGATTCTTTTTCATAAAAGAAACATCCACATCTTCTTCTGCTATACTTATGACCTGGAAAGAAAATAAATCGATTTTGTTGGATTTTAAAATTAAGTATGTAATAAATAGAAACTAGAGGCTCTAAAGAGCCTGTGTCGCTCACCTTGGTCTATGTGCATATTAAACAAAGGACACAGATGGATTCATGACAAAATTGTGTTTTAGTGATGGTGATGTGTTTGTAGATCTTACTTTATTGAACATTCTTGATGCTTACAATTATCTCTATCTATAATGAACTTGGCCCAGTAGTTTCAGTGGAAATTATTTTGTAAAAATTTACAAAATTTATGAAAATTGTTAAAAATTGATTATAAAGGGCAATAACTCCTTAAGGGGTCAATTGACCATTTTGGTCATGTTGACTTATTTGTAGGTCTTACTTTGCTGTACATTATTGCTGTTTACAGTTTATCTCTATCTATAATAATATTCAAGATAATAACCAAAAGCTGAAAAAATTTCTAAAAATTACCAATTCAGGGGCAGCAACCCAACAACGGGTTGCCTGAATGGTCTGAAAATTTAGGGCAGATAGATGTTGACCTAATGAACAATTTTGTTTCTGAAAGATTTGCTCGAAATGCTTTGGGTTCAGATATATGAGCCAAAAACTGCATTTTACCCTATGTACTATTATTAGCCATGTCGGCCATCTTGGTTCGCGAGCCGGGTCATCAGACACAATTTTTAAACTACATACCCTAATGATGATTGTGGCCAAGTTTGGTTAAATTCATCTTAGTAGTTTCAGAGGAGAAGATTTTTGTAAAAGATAACAAAAATTTACGAAAAATTGTTAAAATTTGACTATAAAAGGGCAATAACTCCTTAAGGGGTCAACTGACCATTTTGGTCATGTTGACTTATTTGTAGAACTTACTTTGCTGAACATTATTGCTGTTTACAGTTTATCTCTATCTATAATATTCAAGATAATAACCAAATACGGCAAAATTTCCTTAATATTACTAATTCAGGGGCAGCAACCTAACAACGGGTTGTCCGATTCATCTGAAAATTTCAGGGCAGATAGATCTTGACCTGATAAACATTTATACCCCATGTCAGATTTGCTCTCAATGCTTTGGTTTCAGAGATATAAGCCAAAATCTACATTTTACCCCTATGTTCTATTTTTAGCCATGGCGGCCATCTTGGTTGGTTGGCCAGGTCACCGGACACATTTTTTAAACTAGTTCCCTAATGATGATTGTGGCCAAGTTTGGTTAAATTTGGTACAGTAGTTTCAGAGGAGAAGATTTTTGTAAAAGTTTACGGACGACGGACGCCAAGTGATGAGAAAAGCTCACTTGGCCCTTTGGGCCAGGTGAGCTAAAAATAAACTTTAAAATGCAATCATTTTTCTATATTTATGAAAGGTCAAATCAGGTTTAAATAGAAATAACTGCAACTTATATGTATATAATATACACATCAAGGCTTTAAAAGTCTTTACAGAAATTATATACAAACACAATATGTTTCATGTTTCTATGGACAATGGTATAAGTATATGTTTGCTGGAATTAGTTTGTGGACACAGCTTTTAACAAAAAAGCATTTGAAGAGTAAAGTTGGCTTCTTGGTTTGCTTTCTAATTCTTTCATGAAAGAATGTACCCAATTCAAGCGAGAATGATTCACAATGAGGTTTCATGCAAATTCTTATTTTCCTTGTCAGGGATTTATAAAGCTACAAACTTGTATAAATTGTTGAAAATCAGGATCTGTTACTTTTAAAATATTTTTCTAAAACATTATTTTATTCTATTATTAATACTTTGCTATTTATTTCAATTAATCTACAGTCGTCAATCATGTTTAAGCTATGGATCAATTTAAATAAAATATAAGGCCCATACATAAAATCAGAACAAGTGCAGTCTAACATTTCAACAGAATGCTATTGTTTACCAACCTTTCCAATGAACTGCTTTGTTCTTGAAGTCTTTTCAACTTGAAGTTCCACTAGAACAAAATCACCTGAAACCAAAAAAATATATATTAATTAATATTATTAATTTGTATATTCTAACTAATTTGATTCGTTCAGGGATAGTCACATGTTAAACTATATTTTCTAAGGTAGACTGAAAAACGGCAGATTGAAAAGTGATATTGCACGGTATTTTATAGAAAAGTGATATTGCATGGTTATTTTTAGAATATCTAAGAACCGATATACTTTTTCATGTCAACTAATGAATTTCATGATATTGTTTTAAAAAAGTGTATATATATGATCAAGTTTAAAAAAATCTTCAAAATATATAAAATGTACTAACAAGAACATAAAAAATTTCAATCAGAACAAATATGATGAAATTGTCTAAGAGACAATGTAAAAAAAAAAACAATCAAAAAAGGGAATATTATAGTACACTGATATGGTCAGTAGTTAATAATATAACAATTATAGCCTTTGTATTCGGTCAATACAGGATATATCGACCCAAAGAAGTATATCGACCTCAGACTTCGTCCTCAGTCAATATACTTTTTTCAGGTCAATATATCCTTGTATCAACCTCATACAAAGGCTATAATTGTAAAGTGTTTCCCACAACTAATTTCGTCCCCTAAAGACACCTGATAAAGTGAGTTATAATTGCTGTCAATGCTGAAAGAACAGTTAAGAAGTTGAAACATTTCCTTTCTGAACATACTAACTGCTTTATATAAATGTGGTTTATGAATATAATCTTCCAGCAGTTCCCTTTTTTAATGTGTGAATATTTTGTAAATACAATTAAATTGCAACATGAAAGACAGTAGCAAAGTATACCTTTACTTAAAATTTCCTCTGGTTGTACCTCTGGTTGTACCTCAGGTTGTTTCTCTGGTTGTACCTCTGGTTGTTCCTCCAGTTGTTCTAGTTGTACCTCCAGTTGTCCTGGTTGTACCTCTGGTTGTACCTCAGGCTGTTTCTCTGGTTGTACCTCTGGTTGTACCTCTGGTTGTACCTCCAGTTTTTCTGGTTGGACCTCTGGGTGTACCTCTGGTTGTACATCTAGATGTTCTGGTTGTACCTCTGGTTGTTTCTGTGGTTGTACCTCTGGTTGAACCTTAAAATGTTCTGATGTTTCCTCTGGTTGGGTTGGTTGTTCCTCCGATTGTTTTTGTGTATTTTCTGGTTGTTCCTCTTGGTTTTTAGATGCTTCAGTTGGCTCCTTTAAATTACAGTATTTAATCATTATTGATTATCTGATTCAATAATTTTTGTTTCTTAAAGTAAAATATTACTAAACAAGAGGCGCTATAGAGCTTGAATCTCTTAATCTTGTTTGATCAAGCTACACCAAAAGTTGATTGTTATTAGGTGTTGACAAGATATATGACTGATATAGTCATATTTATAAATTTACAGTTTTAAACTTGATTTAGCTTTTTAACTTTCCATTAGAGCATCACTGATGATTCTAATGTAGGAGAAACATTTGTCTGACGTGCACAAATATTTTTAGCCTGATATCTTTGCTTAGTTTTATACCATACATCATTCCTGTCAAATTTGGTTAAAATCAGTCAAGTGATGTTCATGTTGTTGAGTTAAATGTTGAGAGTGTAAGGATAGATATAGACATTGTCTTAAATTTGCTCTTTTGTATTTGATGGATTATTTTATAACAGTATCATGATTATGGCAACTAAATTAGAATAGTTATTACAGGTGACTGTAACAAGAAACGCATGATCAAAATTAGGATAATTAAGATGTATGTACTTACTTTTTCTGTTGGATCAACATAAAAATCCATGTTTTCCATCAGGACAGAGGCCTCTCTGTAATAAAGTAATTAACTTTGTCAAATGTAAAAAGAAATAATTAAAACTTCTTTAAACAAATTGAGAAAAAGAAAATCATATCAAATGATATTCATCCAAAAATTTGAAAGATTAATTTATAAGAAATGATTTACATACATGCATAGTTGATGGATTGATGGATGGTTGTTTAACGTCCAGTGGCATATTCAGGACGAGAACATGATAATGATACATGAATATTAACCCTGCTTTGTACGAGACAGACATGCTGAGCCGGATTTTTAATGTGCTAGCTCACAAGGTTACAGTTTGCAGGAAGACATGTCAACTTACCCGGACACATTATTCTGACTCTGGGCCGACAAGTCTTTGCTCTAACTCCTCAATGACATGTGCTTGGTGGAGAAGCGGCAAATACCAATTTTCAAGTCTTTGGTTTGACCCGGACGAGGCACTCGAAGTGAGCACGCCATGCAAAGTTGATACAGAGTTGTACATTTTCAAGCAGTATCTTTATAATGATAGTCAGAAGTCCCTTTAAAGTATATATCCAAGAGAAATATCCTGTCATGCTCACCTTAGTAAAGAACTATTTAACACAACATCTTCCAAAACAATGACAGGACTCATTTCCCGGCTGTCTGGAACTTCCATTTCAATACAATAAGAATTTTATCATCATTTACCATTTTTCAGCAAAAAGTTCAGATTTTGATAAATTAACCAGTAAAACCCTAAGAGACAGCAAACTTATTATACAATACAAATAATGTTAAATATACAGTGATGAGGTATCCCCTTACAATTGAGAGGCTTACGTCTAATACTTACACTTACAGAATATTTAAGGACATTACAAATGATCTTGTCTGTGCAATTTTCTAATGATTTCATTTGAAACTAAAAGGTTTACAGGGGATTTTTCAAGTGTTTTATTTTTTGTTTTTTAACATTTCTTTCTTCTAGTCATCAATATTTGAGTAGACTGTACACTTACAGAATATTTAAGGACATCACAAATGATCGTGTCTGTGCAATTTTCTAATGATTTCGTTTGAAACTAAAAGGTTTACAGGGGATTTTTCAAGTGTTTTATTTTTTTTGTTTTTTAACATTTCTTTTTTCTAGTCATCAATATTTGAGTAGACTGTACACTTACAGAATATTTAAGGACATCACAAATGATCGTGTCTGTGCAATTTTCTAATGATTTCATTTGAAACTAAAAGGTTAACAGGGGATTTTCAAGTGTTTTATTATTTTTTTTTTAACATTTCTTTTTTCTAGTCACCAATATTTGAGTAGACAGCTGTACTTAAGAATGTTGTTTTCATCAGATAATACCTACTTGTCATCTTCATAGACTAGAACCTTTGCTGTTTTCCTCTTTGGTCTGAAAAAAAAAGAAGTTTAAAGTAACATCAAATAACATCAAATTATTCTCTGTGAACTGAAATATTTTTCTGTTTGTTAATTTGTCATATGATATTGTAAAAAAAGTATACATGTGTGAAATTTTAAACAATCATCATGGATGAAACTAAAACTGAGAACAAGAATGATCGTTAAACTATCTAAAAAACTTTTTACCTCAATTTCACAGAATCAACATTATCTTCTAAGGCATAAACAGGACTCATTTCATTGTCATCACTGCTTGGCATTTCAATGTTGCTACAATTACAATTGTATGTTACTTACTATTTAAGAATTTAAGGGCATAAATACTTATTAAAGGTACCAGGCTTATAATTTTTTTCTACCCCAGACGCCATTTTGTCTAATATAAGACGCATCATGACGCTCGGATCAAAATAAATGTAAGACCAAATAAAGTAGAAAGTTTAAGCATACATTACATTAGCAAGATCAGACAATAATGAATCCAAATTCAAAATGTTGTTTTCGAAACGTTACTTAAGAAAAGCATCGAAAAATTACTGAAGTCATTTAATTGGTTACATTGAAATGAATGCATTTGCAATCGAAAACAAACATGCTGTATATTTAAAAAGTCGAAATCTTATGTTTTGACATATAAAAATTTGATGTGAAGAATAATTTGTATAATGTTTGGATGAAAGATGCAAAGAAATGCACAATGATGACCCAATAATCATACACTGTGACGTTTTTTAGCGCAAAAATCTTGAGCATTTGAAAATCTTTTTTGTTTTCTTCACATTCAAAATAAGCACATAGACCTCCCTTTTTTTTCTTTTGCAAACAACGTATTTATGTATGTGCCTGTCCCAAGTCAGGAGCCTGTAATTCAGTGGTTGTTGTTTGTTGCTGTGTTACATTTTTGTTTTTCGTTCATTTATTTGTACATTAATTAGGCCTTTAGTTTTTTCTTTGAATTGTTTTTCATTTGTCATTTCGGGGCCTTTTATAGCTGACTATGCGGTATTGGCTTTGCTCATTGTTGAAGGCGGTACAGTGACCTATAGTTGTTAGTTTCTGAGTCATTTGGTCTCTTGTGAAGAGATTTTTCATTGGCAATTACACCACATCTTCTTTTTTCTATTGTTTTGTACACGAATATTATATCAAAATTACTTTCAGATGATACATACTTGTTATTTTCCAAGAGTACTTTTGATGATTTTCCACCTCTTCCTCTTCCTCTACCACGACCTCTGCCCCGGCTGCCTCTTGTTTTGGATCTATAAAACAGACAGAAGATACAGATCAGATGAGCAGAAATATAAATGCAAATTGTACGAGTTTTATGTTTTGCAACAAGCCTGATGAGGAGAGATAATAAGATACTGGTATGACCGATAAAACTGTCTGTCTTACTTAAAACTGTTTGTGTTCCATTTAGTTAAGAATTCTCATTCTCAGTCAGTCATGTCAGTAGGACATAACATTTTTAATGGAAAATACCGATAATGTCTAAGACAATGTGCAGTAGCCAAAAAAAAAAAAAAAATCCACCGGAGTTATCATTATCAATTCAAAATCATTTAAATCACAGGCTGTTTAGAACTTTCCACATTCTTTTACTTTTTCTGTCCTGACAAATTGAAATTTAAAAAATAAATATGAGACAAACATTTCACCTTTCTGAAAAAAGTCTTTTCAACTCTCCTCTTCTTTTATGAACTTCTAAAGCATTAGGCGGTTCACTAGAAATACATAAAAAAATGATTATTTCAGTGTACATGCATGACAAGAACAAGATCTATTATAATTTAAAGTATTACTTTAGTTATTGTGAATATGAGCTTAGATACATAATATCTGGTTTCATCCTTTTAAATGACACATTTTGTTTATGTTTATTTTCTCTTTCTGCAATATGGGTTTCCTTTTCCACTAACATGACTAAAGTATTGTTAATGAAATGAAATGATTCACGATTGTCTTAAATCTTGACCTGACATAGATGAACTACATTGTGCAAATTTAACAGTGTTCTCTCCTGGTTTTAGATAATGTCATTAATCATGTTATGAACAAGTGTAGACACAGACCTGCATTCATAGTATTTAACATTCTGAGAGTATTGCAAGGCAGTACATAGTCCCCTACCAGTTGGAAAACAGTGTTCAAGAACAATATTCAAACCTGATCTGTAACTTGTCGTGTTAAATCTATATACCCTAAACCAAATCAATATCTTAAATCATGATGAAAAAAGTGTCGCAAAATGATTGCTTGAATTTTTATGTCGTGGGATCCAAGCTATGCAAAAAAATATCAGATCAGAACATGTCATGCTAAAACTTCATACCAAATCTTCAAGCATGACAAAAAAGTGTTAAAAACTGATCTGCCAGACTGACTGATTGACGGAAGAACCTATGGACAGACAGTGTACAAATCTATAGTCCACTAGGCATTGCCAGTAGGGAAATAATAAGACTCAACTTGTTTTTATTAGTACTTACATTGAAATATCATCCTCATTTACAGTTATATGGATATTTTCCAAATCTTTTCTTTGAGTTTCTGATATACTTTGTCCACTTCCCTGGGCAAATGAGTATGCTCCTTTTCCAGGTGTCAGGAAAGATGTTACTTTATCCTTTTTGATTACTGGCATTGTTGGTTTAACTCTATTTTCAAATGGTGGATATGTAGTCAATTTGTCTCCTTTTATAAATTTCTTATAAAGACTTCCATATCCATAGCACTTTTGTACGTGTTCTGATTTCCTTCTACTGATTATAAAGAGTGTATCAACTGGATCAAAAATTTGTTCTCTTTCTAATTTAAGAGCAATTTGTTTCAGCTTGGATACAGCTCTTGATTTAGCTGCAGCCAATGCTGTTCTTTTGTGTTTTCTTTCATCAATTTTGTCTGTATAATTAACTTTAACCCCTGGTTTTTTCTTTTTGTATCTATATGGATGTTTTTTTGCCCGTGGAGAGCTAGGAGCCTCCACCACTCTCTGCCTCACTTCTGTAACTTAAAAAGAAAAAATGAAAATTATAAATATGTCATTAAGTGCAAATGCTAAAAATCTTCAATGAATTTCTTTCCATGATATGCATTGGGTAAACTTTCTTAATATGTTCCTCAATTAACATTTAGTTGTTATACAGATGTAAATATAAAAAAGAAGATGTGGTGTAATTTCCAATGAGACAACTCTTCACAAGGGACCAAATGACATAAGTCATCTCATGTACATTGTGAGATTCATGAATATTTGATTTCATGGTGCTAAGTAAATTTATGAGTACTAATAAAATTCTTTAATGGGTTTGCAGTCAATAATATTCCTCAGTAGTCTAGCTTCAAGATAATGTCCTATTGTACTATATAAATCAATGTTCAAGTCAACTCTTTGTCTATGACTTGTGCAGTCAACAAATCATTTGTGTGACATGCTACATGCTCATATGCACAGGTAAAATATTTTCCCCAATAAAAGCGTATTTATACAGGAGCCAGTAGTTACTGGCAAATCAACCAAATTTATGTATTCTAGCAAATCCCCCAAATAAAACCTTTTATTTTGAACAACTTTTTTTTTCTAAATTGGTGAAAATTTTACAATACAGTCAAACCTGCCTTAACAGTCACCTGCCATGAATGGCCACTTTCAGACCCCCCCCCCAAACGTTTTCTCTAAATAATTTAACTCTTTTCAGCGGCCACCTGTCCAAAGCGGCCAGTAGTCACCTTATTTTCGTCAGATTATGTACTGCAAGTGTGTAAAGTTTCATCAATACCGATCAAGCTGTTGAGAAGTTGCCTTTACGAGACTTGTTACCACATATGGCAATATTAAACTAAGGTCAATTATCTCCCTTGAAATATTTTGAACCAGGATTATTTTCCTTCTTGCACATTCTTAGGTTGTGTTCTGCAAGTGTGTAAAGTTTCAACAACATTGATTAAGCCCTTTAGAAGGAGCTGCGCTTACGAGACTTGTTACCACAAATTGGGGTGATTCCTATATACCCCCCCCCCCCCCCCCCCCCAAAACTTTGTTTGTGGGGGTATAAAAAAAGTGAAATGAAAAACTAATGAATATATGAATACCTTGCATGTATTCTAATTCTTGTCTTCCTAATAAAAAAAAATCAGGAAGATTAACACACCAACAATCATTATGGCTGTACTTATGGGATACACTAAGATATACATGCGATCTAAAAAAAGATAAAGTTATATAACAATTACAACATACATCATGCAATATTTTAAAGACTAGCATTGTAAAAAAGATCATGCTGATTCACAGTTCATTCATCATTTTCATGACTTTGTAAGAATAATCGAGTTTTGTACATTCATGACAGTCATGACAGTAGGAATTATTAATAGTTATGGGCCAAGGTATCAGAGAAATTAGGTTGAATTGACAGTGTCACATGCTACCAAATAATATGTCTGACTTTATATCTTGGCATGCGTAACCATGCAAATTGTACCTTATTTGATCTTCAAATTCTGTGTCAAGAGTTTCCATGACTCTCTTCAATTCTTCCAAGAAGTTTAGAAGTTTTGTTTTCCCCTTGGTTTTAACCTCCTGCTCATAGATATAATTGTGGTAGTCAAACTGAAAGGGGTCAGGAATTTTGTTCAACATTTTATGTATTTCTTTTTGGATTTGCTTTATAGTCATATTTCCAAAGCTTTGCAATTTCTCTCTTTCACTCGGGGTTATTGGTAATGGGTGCTTGAATGTTGATTGTTCTTCAAATATCTCTCCCAGAAATTCTGTTCTTAGCATAACTATTCTTTTCTTTGTTGACTCTTGTACAAAGTTTACAAGTCCTTCATCAAGGGCCATTCCGGAGATGGAAGTGTGATCTTTTTCTTTATCCAAATAATTGCTCCTACGGAGACAAGTTCTATATGCTGTTATTGCATCCTCAATACCTAGTGGTCTTGATACATATTTGGTGGACTGAATACCAAAAAGGGAAAGAGAGTGGTCTTTAATTTTTTCTAATGCACGATTGTTTCTGCAGACTGTTTGCCAAATGATATCTGTTGGCATGCCTTTTGGTATCCATGCCTTTAGCTGTTTATTTTTTTCCTCTAAAACAAAGTCTAAATCTTCACCTGCAGAGGGGTTACCACTTGTAGTAATAGATGCATAAAGGTCATTTAGTTCCCTGACATCGTCTGGCATCATTCGGTCCTGTATTGTATCGTATAGTTCAATCTTCTGGTACTTAGGGTGGTTCCTGCCATGGAATAGTTCCTTGGTCATGTATTTGGAACTTTTCATTAAATCTGCATTGTTCCTACGAGTTGCCATTCGAAAATTTACTATTCCCTGTGAAAATTTGCAAACTTGATCTAACATGTATTTGAAATTTTGATAATTTCCATATGAGTATTTCTCTATGCTTGATGTCAAGAATCCTTTAGCTGTGGGGGGACATCTAGAAGACAAGCAATTTCTAACATATGGAAGGACCAGCTCCTGTAAAGAACTCAGATGGAATATGAGTAGCAGGCGCCAACTTTTATGATGGTCCTTACAGGATTTAGCAAACTGCTTAGAGGAATCTGTACAGAAACCCATAATTTCACATAAAGTTTCTAAGAATGGAGTCCAGTTCAGTTCAAAAAAGGACTTAACAAGATTCATTTCGTAATGGCCAGCACCAATTCTAAGATACATCCAGTCAAACTCATGCATAAACTGTTTCTGTGATCCTTGATGAGTTTGCTCACAATGCCTTTCATACAAATCTCTGGAAAGAAATGATTCATGGCAGCCTGTTATGGCACAAACTAATGCTTCTTCTTTCAGTTTTTTGATAATTAAGTAAGGCAAACCATCACAACAAACAAACGTCCAATGACGTTTATTCCCACCATATCTATGAATTCCATTCTCCTCCCCAATTTTCCTCAAGACAAGTGCGACTGACTTTATACTATTTGGGTTGCAGTACACTGGGTCCGTCAAAACTAATTCATGTTTTCCTTTATGGTTTGTAGTGATATGGTCATATTGAGTAAATTCAGTTGTGACAGTGCTTACTTTGCTTTGGTCTTCATCGTGAATGAATACTAGTTTTGGAATCTTTTCTTTTTTCTTTGGATCAGGTTTTGTGTTTTTCTGGTCAAGTTTAGCCTTTTTGATACCTTCCCTTTCATCACAGCCAGTACATTTCTGTTTTCTTTTTGAATTGAGGGTGCCACATGAGGCACATTTGATGTAATTTTCTTCAACAATATCCTGTCTAACTTTTAAGTCAATTGGATCTTCAAAACAACCATCCATGTCTTGCTGTTCAGCAAGTACAACTTCAATAGCATGGTCTATAAAATGATAAAGCTGTTCATTATGGTCAGTTTCCATTTTAACATACAGTTCACTGACTTGATCAATCATACAATTTATCACAGATCTTAGCTTGACTTCCTTATCATTATGATATGAACTATTTTCTCCATTTTCACTTTTATCCTCAGATGATGATTTATTCGTCATGACATTATGGCCCTGAAGATTCAGTTTCACTTCAGGTTTAAGAGCTAGCTCATCTTGCAGTGTTTTACCAATAGAGTGCATGTTTAATTCTAAAAATCCTTTGTTGGTTATAACAGAAACTGGTACCTTATTGCCAGGTTTAATTGAATAAGTTTTGCCAACTACCTGTTCATTGTCAAATACATTCATTAAATCGTTAGATGGAAGTTGTACTGGTTGACTTCCCTGATCTTTCAGCCAGTTTGTGACAGTTTTATAATGACCTGAAGGACTTGAGTTTCCAAAGATATCAACGACAACCTTGCTACCTGTCATGGCATATGATGTGAGGTTTGCTAAGAATGATACTGGGGAAATCAAATTTCTGCTGCATAAATAATATATGTGTTCTACTGCACGTGATACTATGAGAGCATCTCTGGGATTTTTTTCAAGAGCATTGACACCACAACCAGCTAGGCCAAGTAAATATGCCGTGACACTTTGGTCTCTCTTCTTCACCCAATCAAAGATGTCAAAACTGGACATTGCTTCCATGTCTTTGTACATAAGGAAAAAAGAATCAGCATCTCTGGAAATGGATTGTTTTTGTTTCCTTCCTAAACATTCACACAAAATTGATAAACTGTTTGTTGGTAATAGATCTAAAAATTTGGAAAAGAAATCATCATGCTGTTCTTTGCTACTGCTTGATATGACATGTTGAATATGTTTTAAAAGAAGCATTATATCAGTTGTTTGGTTTGCATTCCCAAAATTTACAGTAATTACTCCATTGTCTGTCGGACCCAAATCTTGGCTCATATTCTCAGATATATCACACTCTTGTATATAGTCAATGGAATCTTGATTTTCAATGTTGACATGTTTCAACTTTCTTTTCTTTGGTCTACCTTTGGCAGATGGCTCATTGATAAAACATATCACACAATCTTTACTATGAGGAAGGTAAAATTTTAATTTAATTGATTGTAATGTTTGTAAAGATGAAATGTCTGTCCCACTTCTGTATCTGTATAAATGTCTTGAACATGTGTGGCACACATATAATGGGAAGATTTCCTTTGGTTCACCCTCAACATTTATGCCAAATAAAGCTAAAATTTCCCTTGCAAAAGATAGTTTGTTATACTGCT